GCTTTTTCAGGAATGGATTTAGCTAATGTTTATACGAGGAAAATGCAAGTTTTTGTTTGCGTTCATTTACGCAACACGCCTAGCATATTTTTAACTACTTCAACTTTAGATGGTAATATCTAGACAACCAATCAGAATATCAAAAAAGCCTGACAAACTTTTGCTGATTGATGCCCTGTGATTGCGTAAACATTTTGCTTGCGCTGCGGCATCCGATACCCGATAAATTCAATAGAAGAACCCTCGATCGAATCACGTCTTACCGACTCCTGAGTTTTCCTAAAAGGAAAACTCACTTGAATTATATTTTATCGTAGTTTGCATTTATCGAGCTTTCTTCTGATGTATAGTTTGCAAGGATTTCATGAAAGTAACGTGCGTGCGAATTTTTTTCCTAAGGACACCCGCAAAGGTGGGAAGTAAGCTTAAATCTTGGATGGGATATTTGACCACAGAAAGTCGGTGGTAGTATGACTAGCACTGTGGCATTAAAGTCTCATAGATGTCTTCTTTCAAACTGGTCCCAATATCATTTTTAACTGAATTGGATAACTTTGACATTGATGCATCCTTTTCCTTTACTAAAGATAAACATTGCTGATTTCCAAACACATAAAATGCTGGAAGGTTACTTAGGGATCACTAGATCTCGCGGTAAACTAGTTCCTCTAGTTCCTCCGTCTACGTGATCAACGCTGCGCCATCCTTTACCAAGCCGGCAATCTTATTCAGCGGTCGACCGTGTATGTCATATAATCAGTTACAATGTGGCTGGGGCAAAGAGGCTGCCAGAATATATTATGCACTCCAAGGCCAGATATGATATGACAGTATACCGCAAGAGATTACATATCAAATGTATGCACTAAACCTCGGATAAAATATGTAAGTGATTTCTATATACGTGTCAGTTTTTTAATCATTTTCTTTTTTTCCCTGTGTTGATAGGAGACCAATATATCACCGGCTTATTTGCTTTTCGGTGAACCAGCAGCCGTAAATCTTTGTTACATTTTCGACTTTGTAGATTAGAAACACAACATACCAAATGAATGTCAAAGTTGACCGCTGGGCAAAATTGCAGTTGCGATCTGATCAAAGATTGCGGATTGTCCTTTTGAGTAACATCAGCTTTTAGGGCAGTTGGGAAATTTCTGACTTGTAAATTTCAAGTTATTTGAAGTTAATAAAACAAAGACGTGGTGTACAGAATTTTGATGATATAGACTAAAAAGCGGGAGGTAGATGTAAATTTCACGTCAGCACGGGCTATGCAATAAATTTCCCAAACATTTTATTACTGATCTTGGAAGTCCAGTGATAGCTTTCATTGCCCATATAGGAGTAATGATCAGAACTGGTTGCTCATGGGAGATATTGGGCCATAAAAATACCCTTATTTTTGGACTTTGTCAAAACCAGAAAAAGTTGTCTTTACTTAAGCGAGAGGTAAGTGAAGAAATGAGATGAAAAAGTAAAAAAATTCAATTTTCTAAAAGTCTGATAAATATAAGATACAACCCAGTTGATTGAATTTGCAGATAGATTTTCAGTTTGTCACAGCAGCAATGCAAAGTTGGCTAATTAATTATGCAAAAAATGCAGGAAATGGGGGTTTTCCCAGGGGGACCTTATATCTCCCAGGGAATTAAATATTTTGACCTTTATTTTCAGACATTTGTTAACTCATGATACTTAGCATTAATTTGTGCCAACTAGTTGAGCCAAATCGGGGATTTGAGGTTTATCGCCCATGCCCGGTTGAGCCCGGTTTTCTCGTAAACGCGCTCTTAAATCATATCTGAGAAAAATAAAATAAAAAAAATAAAAAACTCGGCATTTTTTAAGTAATTGGTCATCTTGGATAATCTTAATAATTTGGACACTTATTTCACAACACTTCTAATCCGCCTAAGGATCAAGACGATTGTATTATCAATGTTCATCATTAATTACTGTATACAGTCCGACCTCTATTAAGCGGCCACCCTCCATTGTGCGGTCACTTTCCAAAGTCCCGATTTATTTCTCAGTTAACTGCAGTATTTGATACCTCTTTTCAACGGCCTCCTCTATTAAGCAGCCGCGGCCACCTTTTTTCTGTCACAAGTGTACTATTTACATGGTTTTTTACCTCCATTAAGCGGCCAGCAAATTATCTTTCCAAGCGAAATGGTGAAAGATGATATATGGTGATAACTGATAACAACAAGAAAACAAGAACTGCAATTTAATCTCCACCGTAACAAGTCACAAACCACATACACGTGCAAACTTTTCACATCCGGCGCTATACAAACATAACAATAGCTAACAATAGATAGACATGAACCACTGTTTTCAACCAAAATCTGTACAGGAAAACTTTATTACTACTGTACTGGAAATCTACAAAAATCCATGCTCCTCAAGTTTTGATTATAACCATTGAATTGAAAACTCGTCCCCTGTGAAGCAGTACTCGCATGGAATTTCTAAACCAGTAGCCGGCCCCTCTGTTTATGTGTTTGCCTTTCACAACAGCTCTTCCTTTGTTTGTTGGCCTCTTGAGAAATTTTGTAAGCCATAGGGCCATAAGCCCTACGTGCCCTCTGTTTTAGAACTAGAACTAATGCCTGGGCTGGAAATGCACTTGATATTTTGTTACAATGAATTTTGGATTTATCTCCATATATGTTCACTTTTTAAAATCATTTTGCTATATAGAGTCAATAAAATCATGTTTTCTGCCATTCCTATCCAATTAAAATTGTACCTCTGAAGCGTCCACTTTTCAAAGTCCCGTGGGTGGCCGCTTAATAGAGGTAGGACTGTATTCGCCTGGGACAGTTGATATTGCCTTTTCGTTCTTTTTACTGTCTTTGTAATTGCCCTTACTAAAACTTATCGTAAAGAAACGAGAGATTTCTCGGTAATTCCGTACACGGTAATAGGGAACTTACTAAAGGGCTCCAGAAACAAAGCAACAAGTTGGAAAGACACAAATGGGAAAAAAAATTTGTGGAACATAACAGACAATCATTGTCGTGGCCTGAGGATCTCTAAGTTATGTATTGTTGATAGAACAGAGTGCTTTGTCTAAAAATAAAATCATCAAACCCGCAAGAATCGTTCTGTTCGTAACTGTTCGTGACTACTGTTTCTATTTTGCAGTCATCATAAAAAAAGCTCGCATAGCTCGATGCTCCGCCCTCTTCGTTTTCGTTACACACTGAGTTGGGACAGAGCGACAGCGCATATTTCTGCAAGAAATGACTCACATTCGTTTCAAAGTTCTCAAAATGGTGTTGTAGATTGTTAACAGACACGCACCTGTACAAAGCAAAACACTTGGAAACGCAGCCCATCAAGAAGCAACGAGCACTATCTTTATGAACGGTACGAAAAACTGAGTTTCTCCTCTCTTTAACGTATATTACGTCATGATGAGGCTCGTGCGCGTGTAGGTTTATAATGGGCCGCAAGCGGAAATACGAACGAGCAAACAAATAAAATGAAAACAAATCAGAAATTCAGAGCAAGAAAACGAAATTTACAAGACCCTTCCCTTATTTCCCCTCTCCAATTCTCCGTCCCAGTAGTCCTTTTGACAGTTGTGGGCTTGGTGGCCAAGCCTTTGAACAGGAGTGAGGCTAAGGGTGACCCTGTTGTGACAGAGACCTGTATCTAGTTAGCATGATAACAAAGAAATTTGCATTTGAAAAGCAGCAACATCTCTATCATAACAAGGTCACCCTTAGCCTCACTCCTGTTCAAAGGCTTGGCCACCAAGCCCACATTTGTAAAAAGGACTATTGAAGACCAGCCTTATCCTCGTTTCATTCTCTATGCTGCAGCATGATACGTATGCACATGTCAGTAAGAAGTTCCCATTCAAGGACAAAAACTCTATTCTCGACAATTATTTACCGAAGTGACCATAGATAATTATTTTGGTATTTACCACACAAATACCAAAAAAATGGTTTATTTCTTTCAATACTCCGAAAAATGGTCTTGACGCGTGAGTTTTGTCTTATCAGCCACTCTGAGGTAATTAGTGCTTGCTATTCACTTCCGAACCAGCCAATCAGTGCGCACGAAAAGTGTTATACACTTGTGTGGTATATACTGATCTTTTGATAGCGGTGAGTAATCGAGCTATATATAACTGAATAGTGATGATATTGAAATGATGACAAACAAAATTAAAATCAAGTAACAATATTTGAAAGTAGCACGTGCAACTTGAATGATTTCAAGTAACGAGTAGAAACAAAGTAATTGGATACAACACAAAAAACAGATGGTCTCCTGCCGATACATATATCTCATTGGGCATTTTGTTGTGTGGTATCGCTAAGTATGTTTGAAAGTTGTGTCGTATTTTGACGAACCCGTGGGGCGAGTCAAAATACAAATAACGGGTAGAAATACTCAGCGTTACGACACACCAAAACGTCAAATAAGTTATTTATTACTTACAGGSCMAAWTKKTWWTT